TAGGTTCAGAGCATAAATTTGCTGTGTTAGGCTTGTTTTAAAAAGATGTTTTTATATCAGAAGTCCACAGAATTGATGTTAAAAACATTTCTGTATTAATGTTTATTTTGATTAGAGACCTGTATGCTGCTGACAGCTTCCTGTCTTGGATTCTAAGAAGAAATTGAGCGTCTTTGGAGTTCCTCCAGTTGTGGTGAGACAGCTGCTAGGCACGAATTGCCTCTTTTCATCTACAGACAAATTACTGTCCTGAAAAGGACACACTTACAGCATAGTCAACTTATTATATCTGCCAAGACAGAGTAATCAGCCCCTAATAATTCTGCATCACTAGGTCTGTCAGATGATCCTGGGCTAGAAGGCTAAAGATCAGATGCTCCAACATTTTGAGGTTTAGGGACTGTCCAGGTGTTCAGTGGTCTTGATAAATTGGCTAAGTTTTAGAAGCTATGCTTTGTGCTTCCCATAATTTCAGTTAATTCAGTCATTCTGGATTTCTGATGGGGTTGAAGACTCATAGCCAATCCTGACTATTTACTTTGAGAGAAAAGATTTGAGAGGATGGTTTTCAGCTGACATTCATTCTAAAGCCAAGAAAAAAGCCATGTTAAGAACTAAGTCTTTCAGTTAGGAGAGATGACGGAGGTTCTGGCTAGTCAACAAAACGATGGGCTGGATATTAGGTCTATCTTGTATCTTACTGATACAAATTGGTATAGTTATGCTCTAATTGTATTTTATTATTATTATTTTTTATTTCTTAAATGTTAATCAAAGGCTTTATAAGTTTGGTAATGCTCAATAACAAGATGCCCATACAATCGGTAGTGTAACCCAATATTCACTATAGATATACTAACTCTCTTTGACTGGCAGAGACACGTGAACATATGCTTCCATGTTCCCCTCCACCCTCTCTTCTCCTAGCTCCTCCTCCACTTTTTACTCCTCTTCTTCCTCTCTTTACTCCTCCCAACTTAGCTCCTCCTACATATCACCCTTCCTGTTAAGATAAAACTTTTTTCTCAAAATAAAATTAGAGCATAACTATATCAATTTGTATCAGTAGGTTACAAGACAGACCTAATATCCAGTCCATCATTTTGTTGACTAACCAGAACCTCTGTCACCTCTCCTAACTAAAAGACTGAAACATTCTGTGGACATCAGTTCTGTGGACTTCTGACGATTTGAAAACCAACTATCCATTTAAGGCAATCTGGACTGTTGTCTGTTAACTCCTCTCAGCTATTTCTAAATAAAATATAGAAAACACCCTAACAATTAACTCAGAGCCATGAATTTGCTATAGGCCCTTAACTCACAGGCTTACCATCTCAAATCATTTAAAAAAGTTAAAGGACTGAGCCTAAGCCTTGTATTCCTAAATGTGTTATATAGTCACAATGCCTATGAGAATAACAATATTAATCTCACTTCCATATCAATAAGAAACTTGTACCAATGAAAACCTTAAATTTCAAACCAAAGCAAATTTTGTACCATTTAAGAAATTATAACTTCAGCTTAATAACAATTATACAGATTTCTACCAATAGATTATGGCTATGCAATAAATCCTAGCTATTCCTCCCTGTTCCAACAAAACCACTACTTTTCCCTAGAAAGACAGCCCAATGTTAACCACCTCATTCCCCAAGCCCAGGGAATAGGGGTGCCGACTCTTCATTAAGTTCTTCAAGCTGATTATGGGCATTGAGATATTAGAAAAGGAGTAGGGGGAAAAGTAAATTGATAAGTCTCTGACATCTGTGTCTTCACTGCATTCAGCTGAGATTCCAGGACATCAGAGGTTCGAGCAGGTCTGCTCAGCGTGCTTGATGAGTAAATACACCAAGGCTGTGTATTCTGCAATATACAATTCTCAAAACAAATTTGAGTATCAAGATATCTTTTGTTTGAATTCTAAAATCTAGTCTTCTAGTGGCCTGTCTCTATCATATCTAATCCATATAATTCTGGGAGTTTCTATGAAGGTGTACTCCCACCATCCTCCCATTCCCACCTCCCTGCTCTCAAATTCCCCAGCACTAGGGAATAGAAACTATTGGATACCAAGGCCCTCTACTTCCACTGATGCCTGACAAGGCCACCTTCAACTACCTATACAGGTGGAGCCATGAGTCCCTCCCTTTGTGTTCTCGGGCTAGAGGTTTTAGAATGGCTACTTCAGCTTATTTCCTAGGACCATTTGCTTGAAAATTTGTTTTCCAGCTTTTTACTCTAAGGTAGTGGGTTTCCTGTATGCAGGAAAACGCTAGGTCCTATTTATGTATTCGGTCCATTAGCCTATGTCTTTTTATTAGGGAATTGAGTCCATTGGTGTTAAGAGATATTAAGGAACAGTGATTGTTGTTTCCTGTTATTTTTGTTATTAGAGGTGGAATTCTCTTTGTGTGGCTCTCTTCTTTTGGATTTGTTGGAAGAGGATTACTTTCTCTCTCTGTCTAGGGTATAATTTCCCTCCTTGTAATGGAGCTTTCCCGCTAATATCCTTTGTAATGCCAGGTTTGTGGAAAGATATTGTGTAAATTTGGTTTTGTCATAGAATATCTTGGTTTCTTTATCTATGGTAATTGAGAGTTTTGCTGGGTACAGTAGCCTGAGCTGGCATTTGTGTTCTCTTAGGGTCTGTATGATGTCAGTCCAGGCTCTTCTGGCTTTTACAGTCTCTGGTGAGAAGTCTGGTGTAATTCTTATAGGTCTGCCTTTATGTGGTACTTGCCCTTTTTTCCCTTACTGCTTTTAATATTCTTTCTTTGTTTTGTGCATTTGGTGTTTTGATTATTATGTGTAGGGAGGTATTTCTTTTCTGGTCTACTCTATTTGCAGTTATGTAGGCTTCCTGTATGTTTATGGGCTTCTAGTTCTTTAGGTTAGGGAAGTTTTCTTCTATAATTTTGTTGAAGATATTTATTGGCCCTTTAAAAGTTAAGAATATTCACTCTCATCTATACCTATTATCCTTAGGTTTGGTCTTCTCATTATGTCCTGGATTTCCTGGATGTTTTGTGTTAAGAACTTTTTGCATTTTCTGTTTTTTATGTCCTGGATGGATTTGTTCAATTCCTTCACCTGTTTGGTTGTGTTCTCTTGTAATTCTTTAAGGGATTTTTGTGTTTCCTTTTTAAGGGCTTTTACCGATTTACCTGTATTCTCAAATTCTTTGAGAATGTTACTTATGCCCTTCTTAAAGTCCTCTATCATCATCATTAGAAGTGATTTTAAATCTGAATCTTGCTTTCCTAGTGATATGGGGAATTCAGGACTTTCTAGTGTGGGAGAACTAGGTTCTGATGATGCCAAGTACCCTAGGTTGCTGATGCTTATGTTCTTCTGCTTGCCTTTCACCATCTGAATCACCCTAGCACTACTTGCCCTGTCCCTTACTGGAGCCTGTCTTTCCTATTATCTTGGTTGTTTCAAAACTGTGTAGTATGGGTGTTGCTACTAGGGTTAGAGCTGGGGCCCAAGATCTGCTCAGTGCATGGGCCCAGACCAGTAGGAACCAGTGCTCCAGGCCAGGAGTGAATTCCTGGGTCCTAGTGGGTCCGAGTTACTCCCTGTTGGGGGGGGGGGTTGCTGTCTCCTTACCTAAGATGCTGCCTGGGTTAGAGCTCCTGGGAGGCCCACTTCCTCTGGGTTTTGTGAGACTGGGTGAAGAGCAGCCGCCCGGGATCTGAACAGTGCTCGAGCCCAGACTGGAAGGCACTCTAATTATATTTTGAGAGAAAAGTTTTTTTTTTAATTTTAACAGGAAGGGTGATATGTAGGAGGAGCTAAGGTGGGAGGAGTAAGGAGAGGAAGAGGAAGGAGAGGAGGAGCTAAGAGGAGAGAGAGAGATTGAGAGAGAGAGAGAGAGAGAGAGAGAGAGAGAGAGAGAGAGAGAGAGAGAGAGA